CGGATAATATTTAAGATAGATCTCAAGTTATCTGTTATCTTTGGTCACTCAGCTAAAGGCTTGATCTTAGTGATCATACTCGTATGGATTACATCGTACAACAAAATATCATATCTCGATGTAACTCGATATCTTGGATACAAATAGCACATTTACGTTTAAGTACTAGCGATACTGTTAGCCTTTTGCATTAGCCTAATTGTGGTATTTCTATACAATTCGATGAGTTAATAGTTATAATCTATTGATTGAGCATGGAAGTATTTACGCTCTCGTTTACGTTTTTTATCCTGTCATTATCCACTTATAATAATAATCTTAATAAAGAGAATAATTCAAGTATGGTTTTTCTTGTACTGAATGATTGCATCTGTTGTATATGGACCGTTAATATCAATAATACAATAGTACTTTAAACATGTCTTTCTTAAATTTTTTACTTATTAAGTCATTCTTAGTTATAAGTCATAAGTGAAATTTAATCTAACAATGATAAATGCATGTATCTGTTTATAACAGTATAAATATATTCCGTGTCTTTCAGTGAACTCTGTATACGTGTTTTATTGGTATGAATAGTAAATGTAGTAGAATTACTGACTTACTATCGGGAGAATTGAAAGCGTTTGTATAACTTTACCTCATGAATATGGTAGAATACGCATATATATAATTTGATATCGTTCAGGATTAAGCGGTTAAATACTGTTAGCAACTATATAACCTAATAGTTAAAAATTACGATAGTATGTATTGTAGCAGATGAAATATCGCAGTACAGTATAATACAATGTGTACTTACACTAGAGAGTAGAGACCCTCTGTGATACTGTGTATGTCATAGAGGGTCTGTACTCTACTGTACACTGTACAGTACAGTACAACATGTATTTCCCTTTAACAATCCGTGCTTCTGCGTACGGATTTTTTTTTCTAAAAAATCGCCATTTCTCCTTCTTTCTCGAAGAAATGGCGTTCCTCCATGAAATCGGTAACGCTCGGTAGCCTTCGCCGAGCTGAACACGTACATAGCAAATTTGGTGCATTGTATTAGGTGCTCATTAATTCTGACTTAATTTAGAAGCTTTTGCATGGGATTGATCAATCAGCAACTTTGAATGACAATATCACAACCATATGCAAAGTTCTACAAATGTGCAGTTGTATCTGGGACATTCCCCAGAGCATAACGACTATACTAGCATCCACGAAATCTCCATCAGGGATATGATGTCACCATACGAAAGATTGTACTGCTGTCGGCAATTGCCGTCATCTAGCATTAAATGGTCAATAATTGACGTCTGATCGTTCAAAAAACTATTATGGGCCAGAATTTTCTCATGATAACCTCATCATCAACGGATCGGACTGACTACTAAAACAGTATACGGATCAATATAGGTGTCTATGTACTGTAAGAATACATGTTGGTTCAAGTGAAAGGTGAAGTCGGAGGAGGCTAAGCACCAAGGCAACAAGGTCACCTTAGTGACACGATTTATTTCTTCATTCTTTGGCCTGATTCGCCCGTAAACAATCAAGGAAATAATTAGGCTAAGAAAATTGTTTTGGGATGATATTGAACATTGTGAATTGAGATTTCCGGGTGGGGCCTCAAGTTATGCATCAAGACAACAAGAAACATTTGTTCCTTAGCCTGATCTTTACAATTTTTCTACTTTCTTTTGTCGGTGTGGAGATCAGGACAATGAACAAATGTTAACTGTTGTCTCGTCGTCTTGCAAATATACCCGATTCAAGCTAAATCAAACCGTAAACAAGTTGCACACAACGTATCGAGATTG